TTAGGGTTACGTTTAGCGTTAGGTTAAGGGTTAGCAGTACGTTTAGCGTTAGGTTAAGGGTTAGCATTAGGTTTAGGGTTAGGTTAAGGGTTAGGGTTAGATTTAGGGTTACGTTAAGTACGTTTAGGGTTAGGTTAAGGGTTAGCATTAGGTTTAGGGTTAGGTTAAGGGTTAGGTTTAGGGTAAGGTTTAGGGTTAGGTTTGGGGGGGTTAGGGTAAGGTTTTCGCTTTAATTTTACATTTACTGATCCCAGCACGCTGTTTTCGTCGCGCTGTGATGACATCACGTACGCGCTTTCGCCGAGCGCGCTTTTGTCGACCGCGGTTTTGACGGGTCACAAATGGAACGCAGTACAAGTAATCCTTGCTTAATTTCCATCACTCTACAATGTGTTTGCAAAGTACAATGTCACATGACCACATCACTTAGTGACAGCAGTTCCAGAAGGCCCCCCAGCTGTCATTAAATCCTTGCTTAATGACCGGGACCAGAATTTCCATTCACCATACAACGTGGTTGCAAAGTGCAATGTCACATGACCACATCACTTAGTGATAGCAGTTCTGTCCTGGTAGGTCATTAAGCAAGAATCACAATGATCATGACTTCCGACTTCCTGCAGGCTTCCCCACTGTTTAGGGGAAGCCAGTAGGGAAAGTTGCAAATGAGAATCAGGTGATTGCAGGATGTTGGAGTTGGTCAAAATTCTGGGCCAACTGCCAAGCACCCAGATTGTGATCACATGATTGCGGTGGTGTTGTGACTGCTGGCACTTCAAAGACCAATTGTAAATGCTACTCATTTAGCACAATTGTGCGTTTGAGCAGTCCCTGAGTAAGTGGTCATTGATCAACAATCACCTGTATACATTCTGAACATGTAAAGTTTTGAATACAGATTTGCACTGATCCATTTATAAAAATGTATGGTAATACTTACTCTGGGTATGGGGGATGTCTGTGCACCCTTCTTTTGGCCACTGGTTTCAGGCGTCAGGTCTCGATGATCTAGCTGGAGGTGGCTCTCTAGCTCTTCGGCACTTTCAAATTTGACACTACACTCTGGACATCTCAGGCTACCGCAAGGTCTTTCGCTAATGTCCGGTACAGTCAGGCCCAAGGACTGTCCGTTGGTGCTCCGAGCCATGCAAGCAGCACACAGTCCATATGGTAGACCATTAACATCCAGTTTCACCAAGTCTTGCTTGTTTCTGAAGTCTTTCAAGCACAGAGCACACTTGTAGAGTTTCTGCAACGCCGCCTGGCCGTTGGGCGATGACGCAGCCGAGTTCCCCACCAATTTTTGCATATGGAACGTCCCGTGGATTTTCAGCTCCAGAGTCGAGGTGACAGTCTGCATGCAGACCACACAGCGAAACCCGGTGAGGGAATTCCGAAGGTCAGGATGCATCTGGCAGTGCTCAATGAAGTCTTCCTCGCTCTGCAGTGGCATTTTGCAGATCCGGCACGTGCCCGTGTCCAAGCTCTTGCTGTGAGTTACTTTATGTTCCGTTAAGGTCAGGAGTGATGGGAAGCGCTCCCCGCAAATAGGGCACATATAATGCTTTGCCGGGCCCCGATGGGTCTGCATGTGTTCCCGGAGGCCATTCTCAGAGAAAAAGGTCCTCGAGCAGATATTACACTTGTGACTCCCTTTGATGAACTCCGCTTTCTTCCTGGAACAATCATCCTCCCCAGGTCGGATGTTATGATCCCGCAAACGGTGGTTCTGCAGCAGGACCTCCATCGTGTACGCAGCTCCACAGATATCACAACCGTACATAGGTTCGGAGGCGTCAATGTCATCCTCGCTAGCTTCGTGGCTATTGGAGGTGTCTGGGTTTTTGATCAGCATGTTCGGAATATCTGTCGACTCTGCTTTCTTGCTGGCTGGCGTCATGCCATTGGCCGTGCCATTCTCAGCGCCCGCGTCAAAGACACAATGCTTCTCCCGCAAATGCTTCTCGAGCAGAATAATGGCATGGAATGCCTTGCTGCAGAATTTGCAGTTGTACTTTTTGCTGTGGGTCGTGATGTGGCACTGCAGCTCCACCTCTGTGCTGAAGGTCTCCCCGCAAAAGATGCACTTGTGCAACTTGGCCGGGTTGCCCAAATGGCTGTGCTTCACGTGGATCTGGAGGTCCGCCTCCTTCCGGAAATCCCAGTTACAGGCCGTGCAGCGGTACATCTTTTTCTCATTGCTGTGCTTGACTGCCAGGTGCACTTGGATGGATACTTTGGAGTCGAAAACCTCTTGGCACAGGGTGCAATGGTACAAGACGAACGTATGCATGTCCAGGAGGTGCTTCTGAAGGTCGTCCACCGACGAAAATTGCTTATCGCAGCTCTCGCAGACGTAATGTGTTGAGGTCGTCATGTAATGGATAGTGAGATGCTGCAGGAGAGAGTCCTGGGAGTCAAAGTCTTCTTTGCACTGAGGACACGACTGCTTCCTTAACAGCAACTCCAAGTGCAACTTCAAATGGGTCTGGAAACTTTCAAAGTTGGAGAACTTCAACTCACATTGATTACACGGGTATTCCCCATTGGAAACCGAATGGACGCTGGCAGAAAGCCGTTGCCTTTTAGGGGAAGAAACTTCAACGTCCGAAGACACCGGGCTCTGTTCGCCTTTGGACTTTTTATTGTGGGCCAGTGGAATGTTCTTGTGGTTTTCTTTGATATGCTTTGTTAGCTTGAGGATGGAGCCAAAAATGGGCGAGTTCGTGCAATACGGACAGGAGTAAACTTCCATAAAAGACTGGGATGGTTGAACCACGGGGGAATCCAACTTCGAGTTCCCAATGTTGCAGTGAGTTTGCTGGATGTGCTCCGTCAGAGACGCTTCGGTCAGGAAGCCCATGGAACACTGGTTGCAAAAGAAGGCGTTGTTGCCATCTTGCGTCGTGGCTCCCGGCCCGCAATGGGCGATACGGATGTGTTCCTGCAGGCTGTTGATATCAGCGAACATCTCCGGGCAATAGTTACAGTGGAAAGCGGAGATGTTGCTGAACTGCATCATCGGGTAGGCGTGGTTTTTATGCGCTTTCCTCACGTGTTCGTTCAGGTTGTATAAGGTAGGCATGGATTCGAGGCAAATCTGGCACGTGTGGTTCTGCTGAGGTTTATCCGTATGGATGGTCTTCAGGTGGATCTCCAAAACAGCAAGGCTAGTGAAGTCGCGTTTGGTGCAGTAAGGGCAGCTGTAGGCAACCTTTGACCAAGCCTGGCCTTCTTCCCTTTCCAACGATCTCATTTTCTTCTGTCCCCTCAAAGGTTTCAAGGTCGAGTCGGGCGTGGAGCCCCGTTCCACCGATGCACTGGAATCGGGCGTGGCGCTACTCATGGAGGCCACACTGCCCAAGACGGGGTCTGGGCTGATGCTGTGGTTGCTGGAATCAGGCTGCCGATGGCTATCTAAGTGGCAATAAACTTCTTCCACGGAAGAGAACTGCTCAGGGCACATGGGACACTTGTGTTTTTTGTTGGCGTGAGCTTGGTGGATGTGGGACAGGAGAGAATTCTCATCGGCAAAGACCTCCGGGCAATGGATGCACTGCAAGTCAGCCTTTTCGGACAACTGAGGATGGCGGGTCACAACGTGCTTCTCCAGCTCTTCGGTCTGGCTGAAGGTCTCCTCGCAGTAGTCGCACATGAAGTCGTCCTTCTTGGCCTCCTTCTCGCTCTTGGCCAGGTGCTCCTTGTTCTTCTTGTGCGCCTGCATGTGGCTCTGGAGGGAGCTGGTGGAGGAGAAGCCCCGCTTGCAGACTGTGCACTTGAAGGGCTTGCTGGAGCTGTGGGTCTTCAGGTGGATCTTGAGGTGGTCGCTGCGGGAGAAGGCCGCCTCGCATTCGTGGCAGTGGTACTTCTTGTCCCCCGTGTGCAGCTTGATGTGCCGGTCCCTGCTCCTCTTGTGCTTGAAAAGCCGGCTGCAGTAGGTGCATTTGAATGGGAGCTTGTCGCTGTGGATCTGTTCGTGCCTTTTAAGGTAGCTCAGGCGAATGAAGGACTTGTCGCAAAACTGGCAGGGATAAGGCAGGCCGGTCCCCCCTTCCTCCTCTCCGATGCCGAGATCACAACCATCTCCTATCATCTGAGTGGGTGATGCAACGTCTTTGCTGGAGGGAGACGAAGTTACCCAAGAGAGTTGCGGGTCGTCTTCGCCATCTGTAATGGGAAAGCAGAAAGGAGATTAGAAACAATTCCCAGGGCATCTGCGAAAACAGGGACAAAGCCAGACGGTTCCACAACACTATGGTCCTTCTGCTACCACCCGGCGGTGGGAGGGAGGGAGAAAAAGAAAGCAGGCGGTGGGGGGGGAGAGAAAGGAAGGAAACAGAAAACCCATTGCTGGAGAACAAACAAAACCCCCGAAAGAACCAACAGCACCACAGCTTAAAGGGATATTGGAGTAAAAGAAAAAGAAATCCTCCCTCCTTGCACAAAACGGTCTCTTTAAAAAGAAAAAAGAAAAACAGTTTCTACTTTCAGTTGCAGGAGATCATTTGCCCTTCCTGGTCCCGTCCTCCCCCTCCTCCACCCCCCCAAGCAGGTTTAACACCTGTCTACTCGATTGCCAAGCAATAAACAGCCAGTCAAGGAAAGAGAAAGCAACCAGGCTCAAAGCGACAGAAACATTTCTTAAGAGCGTCTCCGGATGCTGCATTAAGTGCTGGAACGCAAACCCATTTTTTTTTTTCCCCTGTAGATATAAGTCAGAACGGATTTCAAATCATATTGGCTGGAAACAGCCGTTCGGTCCGAAATGTAGAAGGCTGACAATGAGAGAAGGCAGCCAGACCCTCTCCGTCACCCACCCAGCCCTTAATAACCGTGCCACATAAGCAAGCTACGATATATTTTTTTCCTCCCAAACCGCTCCGTGCCACAAAAACAATCCAGAAACGATGGGTCAAAGCTCAATGGGACGATGTGTCCAATGGTTCCCCAGCCACCCATAAGTGTCGAGGGGGTTTCATTTTTTTAAAAATTATTTTTGCAAGCAAGCCAGAGAGGCAACTTCTTCAACCGAGGCGATCTAACTTTAAGGGGATCTCTGGATCTCTCCGTGCCGGGAGGCAGTCGGGCTGCAGTGCCAGCCTCGTGCCCAGCGTGTCTGCCAACTCCGCAGTGAGATGGCAACCAGTCCGGCAGTAGCCGGAGATGGCAAGCATTTCCATAACGTGGCGCCTAGGAATCTGTTTGTCCAGGGAGGGAGGGTGAAAGGTGGGGAATTTCACCATATTGTGGAATAAAATACCGGATTTGGGACACTGATTTGATTTAGCCAGGTTGGATTTGCGCAGATCTTTCCCCTTTCAAAGGAAAGGAAAACGGGGTTCGACTGGAATCGATCAAAGGACTGCTGATTCTACACAGCGGAACCTTCCTCCCCCAATGCAAACACCAGTCACTACAATTGCTTTACTCTTTCTCATGTCTGCATGGTTCACAAACGCACAAAAACGATACGGATCCTTGCTCAACTCTTCCTAGTTCCTTCTGCTCTGAGGATCCACGTGTATCAGTAGCACCAAGACTTATATACCACTTCGTACTGCTTTTACAGCCCTCTCGGAGCGGTTCACAGAGTCAGCACATCGCCCCCGACAATCTGGGTCCTCGTTTTACCAACCTCAGAAGGCTGGAAAGCGGAGTCAACCTTGAATGCATCAGGATAGAACTTCGGGCTGTGGGCAGAGTCAGTCCGCAATACTGCATTCTAACCACCGTGCCGCCCGATGGTTGGTTCCTAACCAGTTTACTACCAGTTCGCTGAGAGGGCAATTTCTTTTGAAACTTGGCTCAAGGCTCATGAATTAATCAGGGCATCTTTCGGAAACCTGACAGTTTCACTTAACAACCAAAAATTATTGGGGATCAATTGTGGCTGTCAGACGAGGTCCACAACTTGTTGACGTTAGTATTTATCATGTTTATGTTTGAATGTTTCCTCTTGTTGCTTTTCCTGATTGTGAGCCGCCTAGCGTGGTGTCTAAGACCAGACGGGTGGCATCTAAGATTCATAAATGAATAAAAACACTCTTGAAAAAACCCAAACAATGTTTGAATGCTTTCCGCGAGGCTGGCACAGCTGGTTTCGAAAATGAAAGCTTTAGCCTCCCAAACGTTTCACCCCTTCCTGTCCTTGAGCTAAGTCTTCTGACCGGATTCCTTGCCTGCGTGAGGCTGGAACCGTGGGAAGAGAGAAGATGGCCTTCTCTGGGATTGTACCGCAACTCTATAAAACTCACACCAAGGAGGATGTAGGCCGGTGCCCTCCTTCCCCAAATCACCAACCCTCCAGCATCCTCCACCACTGTAATTCCCCATCGGCCTCCTTTGTATTTATGGCTGAAATCGAATGTGCATTTTCTTAGGAGGAAGTCCAGCCCAATGCGGAATGACCGACATTCAAGCCTGCCTGCTTTGGACTGCGCTGTGACAGTGAAGCTCTTCTCGGCGTGAACAACAAGCCATCATCATCTCAGCAGTGTCAAAATGGCTTTTGGCGTAAAGCTGTATTACACAGACTGTGTTCCTTCTCCCGAGGGGTGGGGGTGGGGTGGGGGGGTCTTTTCGTTCTCTGCTTTGAAACATTTCCCTGGACAGGATTGGCCAGGCTCTCTCTGTCGCTTTTCTTTACATGGTTAATCGGTCAATGGAATTGTATATGAGACAGACATATACAGCGATGGAGATGGAGATAATAGAGAGAGAGAGAAATATGGATGATGGATGGATGGATGGATGGATGGATAGAGAGAGAGAGATGGAGATAGATAGATAGATAGATAGATAGATAGATAGATAGATAGATAGATAGATAGATAGATAGATAGA